GTGTGATCCACACACTCACCCTGGGGGGATGCTGGCAGTCACTGCCCGGCTCTGAGCAGAACACGAGGCGACTGGCAGATGGTGCAACGTTCACACCTCAGGGCTTTGCAGAAAGTCACTCTAATCTAGGATGTGACCCAACAAACCCACAAACCCAGCCTCACTAGTCAGGAGGGTGTCAGAGTGGAAACACTGAGCAGATGGCTAAGTCACTGTCCAAAATGAAAGATACCTTCTTCTGGCTAAAAGAAAACATACACTAAAGACTTCTTAAGTTGCTCCCACTCAGAAAAAGGAAAGCCCAATAAATGCATTTAAACCCAAAGCTCCCAAAGGATATTCACTTACATGTTTCACGTCCCCCACAGTGATTTCTGGCAGTTTGTGGAAGAGGTGCCTGTACTTTTTACAGCTCGGAGACTCCCGCAGGCGCATGGCTCTCTGATAAAGAGAGAGTCGATGTCCTGTTCTCACATCCGGATCTGCCAACCCTTTTGTGATGCACTTAATAGCCTACAAATGACATGGGCCTATATCAGGATCATAAAGGGCTGCAGCAGCACTCCATTGATTTAGTTTGACAGGAAAACTCACTATAATTAATTATTCAATTTTGCTAATTAGCAAATGAGCAAAGCAGCACTTCCAGAAATTAAGGCTGTGCTTAAATCTTATACTGATATTTTTAATGCACTGATTAATTATCATCTGTTAGGGATTGAATGGCGTCCCCAAATAACATGTGTTATAAAACCTAACCTCTATACCTGTGGATATAATCCCATTTGGGAATGGGTGTTCTTTGTTACGTTAATGAGACAGGATTAGTGTAAGGTGTGTCTTAAGTCAATTTCTTCTGAGGTAATAAGAGATTAAACAAGCAAGTGAGCAAGAAGAGATGGCGGAAGATAGATGCCAAGTCACATGGAGATCACCCAGGAGCCAAGGAAGAGAAGCTGGAGAGACAAGGACCTTCTCCCAGAGCCGACAGAGAGAGAAAGCCTTCCCCTAGAGCCGGCACCCTGAATTTGGACTTCTAGCCTCCTAACTGAGAAACTAAATTTGTTTGTTAAAGTCACCCACTTGTGGTATTTCTGTTACAGCAGCATGAGGTAACGAAGACATCATCCCACACTGTAAATGCACCAGAGCACAAACGACCATCATGCTCCTGATATGAGTTCCCTGTTAAACATGTACAACACAGGCAGGGCTTTGAACTGATTCAAACCAGTTTAGTCATGGCCAATGAAGCAAAACTGGAACAGACCTGAATTTTTACAATTTGGGTGATGCAGAAGGATAACCGGAACAGGAAAAATTACAGGTTGAAGCCCTGGAAGGGGAGACTCAAAAGAGCCACAGTGATCCCTTTCAGCCTGATGTGTGAGAGCGGATGACTGCCAGGACTGTGGAGAGCTACACACATTCAAAGTGGATGGCTGCCATCTTTGAGAGGGATATCACCCTCTGAGGCTCAAAATCCCACAGGCAAGAGACCAGGTTGCTATGCAACTCTTATGCTGCCCTTGTTTTCTAAGAGGGAGATTAAGTTTCTAGCAGGGCTATAACTCAGAAGTAATTTTTCCCATTCAGTTATCATTCCGGTTCACCCAAATTTTAAAAATTCGGGTATGTTTCAATTTTGCTTGTTCAGTCATGACTGAACCAGGAAGAACCAGTTCGAAGCCCTGAACACAGTAACTGCTGCTGCCATATCTCACACAGAGCTTGAAAATCGTGGAAGCCCCTGGACCACGGGGCTGGAAGAGACTTTAGAGAAAAACTTCTGCCTCCATGGTTCTCAGGGGCATCACCTGAAGACATGTGCCTAGGTATATACCCAAAAGTCTTGACAGCAGGGACTCAAACACACACCTGTACCCACTGTTCACTGCAGCCCTATTCACAATAGCCACAAAGTGAAAACAACCCAAGTGTCCAGCAACAGATGAATGGAAGACAAATGTGGTATACACATACAACTGAATGTTATTCAGCCATAAAGAGAAATGAAGTCCTGATACATGCCTCGACATAGATGAACCTTGAAAACATCATGCTGAGTGAAAGAAGCCAGACACAAAAGGACAAATATTGTATGATCCCACTTTTATGAAATATCTAGAACAGGCAATGCATAAAGAAACAAAGTAGATTAGAGGTCACCAGGGAATGGGGAGAGAAGAGAGAGCGAGTTATTGCTTACAGGGTACTGAGTTTCTGTTTAGGGTGATGAAAATTTTTGGAAACATATAGACCACTATTTGTTTCACCAGAAGGTTGCATAACATGGTGAATTTAATTAATGTCACAGATTTCTACACTTAAAAACAATTAAAATGGCAAATTTTATGTTTTATAATAAAATCCTGGGGGGGGCGGGGGCGTAAAAAAAGAGACAAAGACACGCAGACCCACCTCAATCTACAGAATGAGAATCTCCAGGGCAGCCCAGGCACTGGACGGGCTTCAGCACTCCCAGGTGATTCTCATGTGTGGTCAAGAACCACAGAGCTGATCCAAATTCCTTACTTTTAGGGGGAGGGACCTAGGGTTTGGATGAATTCCCTAAGGTTATTCACAGTCACCACCACTCGTCTGTCACTTTGTTGTACTGTGGTGGATTTCATGTTGGTGTGATGCTAGAAACTATGCCATCAGTATTTCAAATACCAGCAAGGCCACCCATGGTGGACAGGTTTCAGCTGAGGTTCCAGACTAAGACAGACTGGGAAAAAGGACCTGGCAGTCTACTTCTCAAAAAAATTGGCCAGTGAAAACCTTATGAATGGTAACAGAACATTGTCTGATATAGTACCAGAAGATGAGCCCCTCAGGTTGGAAGACGCTCCAAATATGACTGGGGAAGAGCTGCCTCCTCAAAGAAGAGTCGACCTTAATGACATGGATGGGGTACAGCTTTCAGGACCTTCATTTGCTGATGTGGCATGACTCAAAATGAGAAGAAACAACTGCAAATATCCATTAATATTAGGAATGTAGAATGTAGAAAGTATGAATCTAGGAAAATGGGAAGTCATCAAAAATGAAATGGAACACATAAAGATCAATATCCTAGACATTAAAGAGCTGAAATGGACTGGCACTGGCCATTTTGATAATGGTCTACTATGCCAGGAATGACAAATTGAAGAGGAATGGCATCACATTCATCTTCAAAAGAACATTTCAAGATCTATCCTGATGTACAACACTGTCAGTGATAGAATAATATCCATACGCCTACAAGGAAGATCAGTTAATATGACTATAATTCAAATTTATGCACCAACTACTAAGGCCAGAGATGATGAAATTGATGATTTTTAACAACTTCTGCAGTCGGAAATTGATCAAACATGCAATTAAGATGTATTGATAATACCTTTTTTCAACAACAACAAAAACAACTATACAGCTGGACCTCTCTGGATGGAATACACAGGAATCAAATCAACTACACATCTGTGGAAAGAGACGATGGAGAAGCTCAGTATCAGAACAAGGCCAGGGGCCAACTGTGGAACAGACCATCAACTGCTTATATACAAGTTCAAGTTGACGCTGAAGAAAATTAAAACAAGTCCAAGAGAGCCAAAATATGACCTTGAGCATGTCCAACCTGGATTTAGAGACCATCTCAAGAATAGATTTGATGCACTGAACGCTAATAACTGAAGACCAGACAAGTTGTGGAATGACATCAAGGACATCATACATGAAGAAAGCAAAAGGTCGTTAAAAAGACAGGAAAGAAAGAAAAGACCAAAATGGATGTCAGAAGAGACTCTGAAAGCCACTCTTGATTGTAGAGTAGTTAAAGTGAATGAAAGGAATGAAGTAACAAGAGCTGAACAGATGATCTCAAAGGGTGGCTCAAGAAGACAAAGTATTATAACGAAATGTGCAAAGACCTGGAGTTAGAAAACCAAAAGGGAAGAACACGCTCAGAATTTTTCAAGCTGAAAGAACTGAAGAAAAAATTCAAGCCTCGAGTTACAATACTGAAGGATTCTAAGGGCAAAATACTGAACAACACAGGAAGCATCAAAAGAAGATGGAAAGAGTACACAGAGTCGCTGTACCAAAAAGAACTGGTCGATGTTCAACCATTTCAGGAGGAAGTAGATGATCAAGAACTGATGGTACTGAAGGAAGAATTCCAAGCTACACTGAAGGCACTGGCAAAAAACAAACCCAAACCAAACCAAACCCACTGCCGTCAGTCAATTCCGACTCACAGCGACCCTATAGGACAGAGTAGAACTGAACCACAGGGTTTCCAAGGAACAGGTGGAATTGAACTCCCAGCCTTTTGGTTAGCAGCTGAGCTCTTAACCACAGAGCCACCAGGGCTCCAACAAAAAACAAGGCTCCAGGAACTAAGGCAATACCCATTGAGATGTTTCAACAAATGGATGCAACACTGGACGCTCTCACTCGTCTACGCCAAGAAATTTGGAAGACAGCGACCTGGCCAACTGACTGGAAGAGATCCTATTTGTGCCCATTCCAAAGAAAGGTGATCCAACAGAATGTGGAAATTATCCAACAATATCATTAATATCACATGCAAGTAAAATTTTGTTGAAGATCATTCAAAAGCAGTTACAGTAGTACATCGACAGGGAACCACCAGAAATTCAAGCCACATTCAGAAGAGGACATGGAATGAGGGATATCACTGCTGATGTCTGATGAATCTTGGCTGAAAGCAGAGAATACCAAAAAGATGTTTACCTGTGTTTTATTGACTATGAAAAGGCATTCAACTGTGTGGATCACAACAAATTATGGGAACTCCAGAACACTTAATTGTGCTCAGGAGGAACCTGTGCATAGACCAAGCAGCAGCTGTTCAAACAGAACAAGGGGATACTGAGTGGTTTAAAATCACAAAACGTGTGCATCAGGGTTGTATCCCTTCACCATTCTTTTTCAAGCTGTATGCAGGGCAAATAATCCGAGAAGCTTGACTATATGAAGAACACGGCATTAGGATTGGAAGAAGACTCACTAACAACCTGCGATATGCAGATGATACAACCTTGCTTGCTTAAAGTGAAGAGGACTTGAAGCACTTACTGATGAAGATTAAGACTACAGCTTTCAATATGGATTATACCTCAACCGACAGAAAACAAAAATCCTCACAAGTGGACCAATAAGCAACATCATGATAAATGGTGAAAAGACTGATGTTGTCAAGGATTTCATTTTACTTGGATCCACAATCAACATCTATGGAAGTAGCAGTCAAGAAATCAAACAACGTATTGCACTGGGAAAATCTGCTGAACAAGATCTCTTTAAAGTGTTAAAAGCAAAGATGTCATTTTGAGGACTAAGGTGCACCTGACCCAAGCCATGATATTTTCAATGGCCTCATATGCCTGCGAAAGCTGGACGATGAATAAGGAAGACCGAAGAAGAACTGACGCCTTTGAATTATGGTGCTGGCGAAGAATATTGAATATACCATGGACTGCCAGAAGAAAGAATAAATATATCCTGGAGGAAATACAGCCAGAGTGCTCCTTAGAGGCAAGGATGGCAAGAGTTCCTCTCACATACTTTGGACATGCTATCAGGAGGGACAAGTCCTTGGAGAAGGACATCGTGCTTGGTAAGGCAGAGGGTCGTCAAAAAAGAGGAAGACCCTCAACAAGATGGAATGACACACAGGCTACAATAGAGGGTTCAAACATGGCAATCATCGTAAGGACGGTGTAGGACTGGGCAATGTTTGATTCTATTGTACATGGGATTGCTATGACCCTCAACAGCACCTAACAAGATTCACAGTCAGGCAAACAAATAAAAATACCAGAAATCAATTAAAGACCAGGCCATCAGTATCTGAGTGGCCAGAGGAAGCAAGGGGTGAGAAGGGGACAACGACACGCTCTGCTGACCCGAGTTGGCGCTGGGAGGAGAGGCTGGTGGGCACAGCGGGGGCAGTCAGGCCAGCTCCGCCTCTGCTTCTTTCCTGGGAGACTGAGGCCAAGAATGTGGAATGGTAACAAACAATGAATGCTATGACTATCCGGCCTGTCAGATCTTTGGGAAAAGGTTAAAAGGAATTAGAATTGTTTTAGCATCAATCTCAAAACTAAACTCAGGAACAG